ATGATGAAAGTTTGAAATATAAAAGTTTGTCTTAAAACATGCCCTAAGATTCAAATAAATGCCTTAAAGAATGATAAGAATTGTGTTAAAGAATAGATGTTTTACTTAACAAAACAAAGATTTATATCTTTAGCATAATATGAATTTATTGTTTGACATTAATTTTCATTTGTTCAACAAATTGTATTGTGTTTTATAAATCAAATTTGAATACATTTTATACCTTATTTGTTTTTACTATTTATTTCAATTATTAGTACTATTGATATTCAAATCTACATTAATTTGACATCATTGCATTTCATATAATTTATAGATGTAAAAACTTTAGTTTACTGTACTGTATATCAAATTTGTAGATTTATAAACATTTAGACATTAATTATTTTAATAATGTTTAAACTAAACTTTATTTAATTAAAGGAAAACTACTTTTTGAGTTAAATCGCCGGAATAATAATGATATAAAAATAAATAGTCTTTCATTTTGTAATATCAAGTCTACTATATTTGTAATATAGATATATTTTTACATCTTTTCTAACATTTAAATTAAATCGAAAAGTAAAGCCTAAAACGATTTCACATGCAATGAGATCTGCATATTATGTTAATACTAGAAGTAATCCTATAATCTTATTTGCAAAATGTGCTCTTTTATGGACTTTTATCCAAAATAATTGGTTATAATTTGATTATTTTTCCGAAGTTTTTTCTCGACAAAGAATTGCATAATAAAACTCATTAAATGGCAAAATATTTAAATTTAAAACTTTATTTGAAACTAATCTTAAACAAACACTCGTCTTATATAGTGAGCAATTTTTTAGTCATTTCTTGCAACAAATATAACCAATTCTTTCGCAAATATAACGTCAAAAGAATTTTTATTAAATATGAATTGAATTGAAGAATATTAAGTCATGAATGGGTCGTGAATTGAAAGAATGAGATAAGAGAGGAGGAGATGAAGAAGAGATGGAAAGAGAGAAATAGAGACAGAAATGGGCAGATGTTTCGGAAGTCATATTAAGAGGTTTTGTAGAAAGTAATGAATATAACAGAGTTTAGACGTCGAGCACAAGAAGTGAGAGCACTTTGGCTTTAATACCACATCTAATACACAGTATATGTGTTAAAAACTCTTTGTGTATAAAAATTGAAAAGTTATTCAATTCTGTGGATATATCTGTCGCAAAGCGAAAGCTGTATCTCTAATGAAAACTTAGGAAACGGAGCTATAATTTGAAACATTTTTGACAAAACTCTGTAATCAAAAAAATATTTCATTTCTCTCTTGTGAGTCTCTCTATCTCACCTCTCTCTCTCTCTCTCTCTCTCTCTCTCTCTCTCTCTCCCTTCTTGTTGTGTGTCTCATATCGCACACACATTGCTTTATTGTCAACATATGGATAGTTTCATATCCTTTATGTGAGTTAAGGGAAAGAAAACGTATTGTGTATTGATATTGAATTCACTGAAAAGACTTACTTTAATGTGAGAGAAATCTAAAGTGAATGAAAAGAGAGTGAAAAATATTTCACTGCTTATAAACAGCGATGGCTTTCGTTGAACAGATTCTTTGGGACAACTGTTCCCTTTAAAGTCAGGAATTTTTATATTTAAATTTTTTCCTCTGAAACTAATCCAATGCTATATCACTGCCAGAGAAAGCATCGCATCGATGGGCCATATATTCAAGTCTTACACTTGGTTTCAATGCAAAACAATTCAATCTCGGCTCAGATTTCTCTCTACGAAGAGATTTAAAGCCAATGAATGCCATTACGGAAGCAAATCAAAGAGTGTGTATGTTTTGGCAATTTTGACAACTTTCTCAAACTTATGTCAAATTTTAATTGACATAAAAAACGAGTTCATTTTAGTACAAAACAGTAGTTTTCATGTTTTCAGTTATCACTTTGAGATGACATTAAAAATTCATTTAAATTTCTAATTTTTATTTTAACTAATACTGCATAAAATCATGTGT